TTAGAGAAAGGCCCTCAGGCGATGGATTTGCATATATATATGCATATGCATATACACATACAATATTATGTATATACACATATATTGTATATACATGCTACATACACAAGAAAGGAATACACACACATATGTGTGTGTGTATATATATATATATACACTCCCTTGTGTAGATAGACAAATATATTCCAAGAAAAGTTCTGGTGACCTTGAGCTACTCTAAGAATAACAGTCATGATATTTTAGTACTCTTTGTTTATGAATTTTAAAATATGAATAAATAATAAGTATTTTTTAAAAATCATGTCATGACTAGGGCTGAACCTCATGTGGATCTGTTGCAGAATCTCTTCCAACAATACAGGTTTTTGTTTTTAACCAAGAGGAGGTCTGAGGTGTGATAAAGGGTTTGTGAAAATAAATTAACATCTGTCTATCCACAAAAACTGGTTTCTTTCTGTATCAAATCCTGTTATGTGCTGTTATGGAAATACTTTTTTTTTTTTTTTTAGTACTTCTTTGGCAATAAGTGAAGGACTACTGCCATAAGCTCATGAGTGCCTTTCCATCATTGCAGCCCTGTTATTCCTGGCCCCTTCCTGGGAACTTCCAAACCTTCCTGAAGTGAAACAACTGAAAAGTTGAGAACAGCCTCAGTACTGTGATCAGTGTTCTTTCTGACCAATCACTATTTCTGATTAGTCATTCACTATTGGGCGTGGGCATCCAGTATCCATTGCCTAGCCCACTTCTCCTACCCTGGCCCTGCCTTCTTCCAGTGGGGAAGAAGACAGGGTCTCTGATGCAGTGCTGTCACACCAGAGTCTAAAACTAAGGGTCCCCCACCAGCTGCTATTGAGTGACCCTCATGTGACTGCGGGAGTTGCTGTCTAAGTAGAATTTTGGGTCTGAACCAACCAAGGATAGAAGCTGTGGCTGGACAGGTCCCAACAATGCAGTCACACATACAGCTCTGTCCTCCACTGGTATCGCAGGTACTCCCCAAACTGGAGGGAGAATGCAGGTAAAGACAGGGCTCTTGGGGGCAGTTTGGAACCAAGTATCACCTGAGACTTAAGTGTCACTTTTCAGTATCTTCATTGAATTTCACTTTCACTTAATGTTGTGAAATCATAAAACTCACCAAATGCCTATTAATCAAGTACATAAACATTACTTTTCTTAATAAAATAGGAACTAACACATAGTGTTAGGTTCTATGTCAGGTTAGGTTTTATGTTAGGTTCTCTGTGTCAGGTTCTATTCTAAAAGTATATTAACTAATTTAACAAATCATCAACCCTAATTTTCAAATGAGAAAGTTAAGGTATTGAAAATGCCAGATACTTGAAATTTATCTGACAAATCAGCATTTGAGCTTAACCTGGCACTTGGGGACACATTAATTGCCACTTTTCATTTGGCCTGAAGGATTATCTTTATTTTTAAAATGATATTTTCTGCTAGATTGCTGATAATAGAAATCCAATTATTGTTTAAAAATTTTCCTAGAAAATTTTGAATGGAGTCACTTGGTTTAGTGGAAACTGAGAATGAACAATATTGTTCCTAACACAGATTGAAAATTTATTAGATTACAAACCACTTCCTGACTTTCAATTCAATTGAAACGTTGGAAGAATTTTATGTAGTTCCTCCCATGAAATGATGGTCATTTAGCGAGTAAAAGCTGCAAGAATAGCTATTTCTAAAAATTAACAAATTATTTGTGAATTATTAGAACAATTTGAAAAAATAATTTGTACCACACTTTAATAATATGGTAACTTTATTCACATTTGTACCCATGTATATTATTGAATAAACAGTCATCTCTATGTAGCAATGAAAGAAAATATATGTAAAATTTCTTTTCACTTGTATTTATTATTATTGTTGTTATTCACATATTTTTCAATGTACAGGTTAATTCACAGTATATATTAATGTTTAAATAGTTTTAGTCCTTAGCTGTAAATATCAACAATCTCCCTATCAAACACTGAAATAGTAAGGAAACAAATGTGTATTTTTTCAGCTTCTGTATAGCAAAAAAGATACCCCACTGATTGGGAAAAAAATCTTTGCACTCCATACAACTGATAAGGGACTGATCACAAAGATATACAGAGAGCTCACATGACTCAACAAAAACAAAGTAAACAGTACAGTCAAGAAATGGGCAGAAGAACTTAAAAGACACTTCTCCAAAGAGGAAATGCAAATGACCAACAGGCATATGAAAAAATGCTCAACATTTCTTAACATCAGGGAAATGCAAATCAAAAGCACAATGAGATTCCACCTTACACCAGTAAGAATGGCACATATTAAAAAAATAAGCAACAACAAATGTTGGCAAGGATGTGATGAAAAAGGAACACTCCTACATTGCTGGTGGGAGTGCAAACTGGTCCAACCACTATGGAAAGCTGTCTGGTTCCTCAGTCTACTACCATATGACCATATGACCCAGCAATTCCACTCCTAGGGATCTACCCAAAGGACACAAAAACATTGATTCAGGGCCTCCCCTGGTGGCGCAGGCGGTTGAGCCCAGCACTGTGAAGCGGTCCGCAGCCTCTGCAGTGCCGGTTCGATCCCAGCCGGCAGGCAGAGAACCTCACATGGTGTGGCAGACCTCTCCTGTCTCACCCATTGCTCCCCTCAGCAGTGTATTTCAGCCAGTCTGCCTGTTCTGTTCGCTGCTCTGTCTCTGGTTAATCCTCTCACCCTTCCACGCATCTGGCCTGTATCCTGGTTCTTGTATGCATGAAAAAATAAATCTTTAAAAAAAAACAAACCAACATTGATTCAAAAGAATACCTGTACCCCTATATTTATTGCAGCACTATTTATAATAGTTAAAACTTGGAAACAACCCAAATGCCCAAAATAGATGACTAGATCAAGAAGATGTGGTCTATATACCCAATGGAGTACTAGTCAGCAATCAAAAAAGATAAACTCATGCCATTCACAGCAACATTGATGGAGCTAGAAGGAATTATGCTCAGTGAAATAAGTCAGAAGGAAAAAGAAAAATATCAGATGGTTTCACTTATAGGAGGAATATAGGGGAACCAAATAAGACATCGGGGGAAAAATAATAACAATATAAAACACAACAACATAAACAGACCATTATAAATCAGACATACTGCAGGGGAAGGGGAGGGAGAGGAATTGGAAGGAGGAAGGGAAGAACATGAGACTGTGGTGATGGTACATGGGTGAAATAGTGGAGGAAACTCTATGGGGACCACACATGAGGGGAAAAAAAAAGCAAACATTGTTTAAAAAGGAACAATGATGTAAAATATATATAAATAAATAATTTTTTAAAAATGTATATTTTCTCACATAATTAATAGTCCAGGGTAGATTGCAGACATAGTAAAATCAGTGGCTTAGTAATGTCATAATCTATTTTGCTTTCCCCAGTGTGAAGATTTACCCGTTGGCTGGAGCCCCACTTAATCTCAGTATAGCCACAGGTCTCTTTGCTGTTTTGTCTATTCAATTTATGCCCACATATTCTTTAATACTTCTCCCTACAGAAGTGGAGCCTAATTCCCTTCCTCTTAAAAGTGGGCTGTATTTGGCAATTCACTTTAGTGAATGGAATGTGGTGTCAGTAACTGTGTGTTGATCCTGAAACCAGGACACAAAGGCATGGCGGCTTCCTTTCTCTTTCTCATGGATCACTCACTCCAGGGAAAGCCAGTCATCATGCCATCAATTAACCAGGTCCAATGGCTAGTAACTGACTCCATCCAATAGCCAGTAATGATCTGAGCTCTTCTGCCAGCAGCCATATGAGGGAGCCATCTTGGAGGCTCCCTCCAAGATGTCCCTCCCTTCAAGTCATCTGAGCCCTAGTCAAGCCCTCAGATGACTTGAAGCCTCATGTAAGACCCTGAGCCAGACCCACCATGTTAAGCTGTTACTGAATTTCTGACTCGCAGAAACTGTGAGATAATAATACTCGTTGTAAAGTGTTATGTAACATTAGATAACTAGTCAAATATAACATCCAGGGGAAGAAAAAAACAACTTTTTTCTCTCTTTCTCTTATTCACATTTCACTGGGCATACTTAGGACACATTCCAGTTTCTTAACCAGTGATTGGTAGAAGAATAATGCCATGACTGGCTTATACTGAACAAGATCCACTCCCAGAGCTAAAGGCAGCTTGCTCTGAAACAGCAGACTATGTGGAGGATGGTGACTTTTGTTAGAAGGAAGTGGGGTAAAGGCATAGATATTGAGGTGGCAAGATGGTCTAGAGTGTGTTGTGTAACAAATATTCAAGTCTCAGTGATGTAGCATACCAAAAGTTCATTGCTTTCTGCTACTACCGGTCCAGTGTGGTTTGGCAAAGAGACTCTGGCTGAAAGGTGTCAGCACAATACTTGGAGTGGAGGGATGGGAAAGTAGCAAATTGTTTACTGGTTCTTAAAGGTTCTTCCTGGAAGTGATGTATTACACCTTCTCTTTTATTGACCAAAGTGAGAATACCTAATTTCAAAGAGGGCAAGTAATGCAGACTTGTCTTGTGACCGGAAACTAGGGAGGCAGAGATATTTGGTGAACATCACTGATGAACACAGCAGGAGAAAAGCTATGTCTATAAAACTGTTGAGGTACCAGAAATTGGGGTGATACTGTATCACCCCAATTCCTTAAACCTCTTAAAGGAATCTCTCCCCTTGTCCTTGTTTTTTTAAGACCTGAAGTGGTTAAGTAGATCTGATGTTAGGGTAGGTGACACAGAGATAAACCTTACTTTAATTGCTGGTTCTAGCTCTTCGCTAACAGAGAATGGTTCACAGCAGACTACTTGAAAATCAAGTCAATGATAACATTCCTAGCTTTGATATTAAGTCCAATAAATGTGTAATTTTGCTAATAATATAAGCCTAAAGGTATAAATAGCATGCTGAAAATTAAAAGTGCTCTGGTGCTGAAATCTGCAAGTTAATAGCTCGTCTTTTCTCAGGATCCTTCATGCTTGGAAGCTGCCATTACCTTAATAGGATTCATGGGATGTATGGATGCCTCCTGGGTATGGAAACAGCAATTCTCCTGCTAGGTTAGTTCCACCTTTTCTGTCCTGCAAAGTTCCCGATCTACTGGACTTTTGGTTCCCTACGCCACCTTTTGTCATTTGATTTTTTGTAATGTCTGCCTGATAGCAAATCTGTTGATAAATCTGAAACTAAAATAGTTCTCACTCCAAGCTCCATTATCATTCTAGCTAACTCCATGTCATTTTTCAGCTTTCCAAGAAGCTCTCTCTCTGACTGCTCCATCCAGTCTTACTGTTTTTCTTGTGCCTCTTTTTTACCACAACACATCTTCTCATTCCCATCTTTATAAAGCATGTATCGTACCACTTTCCGGTTGCTGATTTCCTGGGTATTCCCTTGCTAGCCTGTAAGTCCTTTTAGTAAGTTCTGTTTGATGTGAGTTTTAAAATGCATAGGGCTAGCCTCGTGAATAGTACCATCATGCCTGATTGTTAGGAAATGTTTTCAGTGAACACTAGCAGAATATTGAATATCCCAAGACTCAGACTCTGGCGTGGGGGATTATAAATCACTGCCTTCTAGAGATTTCCAATATTCTGAGTCTAAAAATACATTACAAAGATCTACAGTCTAGGGCCTCCCCGGTGGCGCAGCGGTTGAGCGCTGGGTTGCGAAGCTGCCCGCAGCCTCTGCAGCGCCGGTTCGATCCCCGGCTGCTCCCGCAAGGTGCCCGGACCTCTCCTGCCGCCCGCTGCTCCTCAGCAGTGCACTTCGGTCCGTCTGCCTGCTCTGCTCCCCGCTCTGGCTCTGGTGAATTCTCTCACCCTCCCGCGCTTCTGACTGTACCCAGTGCTATAAATAAATAGATAAATAAATCTTAAAAAAAAAATCTACAGTTTAACTTCCTTAAGGAGGGTAAGTTAAAAGTATCTACCGAAATATAAATACCTGGGAGGTCAACAACTTTAGGCCTTAATTTCAACAATTAACTCCTTATGAGGGAGATGGTGGCTGTGGTTCTCAAATTTGTGTAGAGTGAGGGAAAGCTGACACACCCATTACCAAGTCTCCAGGCTACTGTGGTGGAAGGCGTTTGAAGAAGCCCTCGAGGCAATTCATGTCAATTCACCCCCAGGAGAGTACCACCCATCTTTCTTCCTCCCTTCCTTCAACAAGGGGCCGATGAAGCACAAGCCAATGTGGCATTGGTCTAGATTTTATGAAGGATGCGGTTACCCCTGCGGCATCAAGATTCAGGGGACAGGGCTTTAATTGCCCCAGTGTGGCTGAGCTCTTCTGGTTTAAACATTACTTACTGTTTAAAAATGACTTAAATTACCTATAGGTGAGGGCATTTATGGAGGCGGGTCTGTGGTTATTTTTGGTAATTGCTTCCGTTCTCGGTCTGGTAGGTGGGGCTGACAACCACCCCGCAGTTGTCTGCAGGAAGGGCATAGCCTGGCTCGCCCAAGCGAGGGACAGACAGCTCGCGCCGCGCAGGGTGTAGTCGCACTGTAGGCCACGTGACCGCCCGGAGTACAGCCCCCGCCGGCACATTGTCTTCCTCTGGCCCAGTGAGCAGGAGCTTCGGAACAAACTCGCTAGGGCGAGACCGGTCTGGGTGGGGCCGGGCTACTTCCTGCACATTCCTCTTCCTCCGCTCCCCGCGCCATCCTCCCTTCTCCCCTCCCCCTCCCCCTACTCTCACTCCCCAGACTCCTCCCAACTCTCCTCCTACCCAGAGCGCTTCCCCCAGCTCTTCCTCCAGGCTGCAGGGCTGGCTTGGGGGAGGGGCACGTGGCTGGCAGCCGAGAGCTGGCGCCTGGGGAAGCGCTCCCCAGGGCCCCCGCCCCCACCCCGCCCCCACCCTGCTCGTGGACAGGAAACCTCTAGTGTTATATGTGTTATATGGTGGAATTATAAAGTAGGCAAAAGGCAATGACCAGCTTGACAAAGGCGTCCTGAAGGCCGCCCTGGTGTTTTAATTACAGCTTTATGGGGAGAACAAGTTTCTCTCATGTATACTCAGCTCATCTGTAAAATGGGGATACAATAAAAATTAAATAACTATCCCCAAGTAGACGAAGCTGCGTTCATTTACTGTGAATAGTGCCGAGAGGAACTAAGTCATTGTGCTTCAGCTGATTTTTTCCCGGCCCAATACAAAGCCAGATCCTAGACACCCCATGTTTTCCTTTGTTCTGGCCTTGGAAAGTGTCATTTCTCTACAAAGAAAGAATCCCTTTTGTGTGTTCCTGGCTCCAGCGTCCCTGGGGATTATATGGAGAAAGTCCTCTCCGAGCTGTTTTGCTCGTTGGAGACAATGTTCTGGAAAGCTGGCTGCGTTTCCATGGCTACGGCTCGCGGTGGCCTCGCCCTGCCCCTCTCCACCCTGCCTGCTGGAGCCCTTGCCTGCACCCAGGCGGCCTGCGGTGCCCGCCTGCGCGGGAGTGGCCGGGAATGCCAGACGTTATTTCCCACATGGCCTCTGAGGCCCCGGGCAGGGAGGGAAAGTCCTTGTCAGGCCGTCCTGAGCTGTCCTAGAAAACAGAAAAACAGCGATTTAGAATGAAAGCTCGTTGAAGGCAGGAACCCGGTTCTCAGAAATGCGCCACTTCCTTTCCTCCCAGGAAGACCAGCATCCCCCAGCCCAAAGCAGGCCCCCACGCAGCAAGATCTGGAAAAGGGTTTGTAGGCATTGGCCGGTCAGGTGGCTGCTCATTATCTGGTTGAAAGCTCGGACTCTGGAGCCAGGAAGTTGGTCTGCCACATCGATGGATAAATACCGCATCTTTCCAAGCTTCACTTAACTCATCTGTGAAATGGGACGATGAGACCGAGCTCAGATAGGCATGTTCAGGAAACACCGAGTCTATGCTGCTTTCTAGTGCAGCTCTCTGCGTTATGATTCCTGTCAGCGCTCTTACTGTATCTCTTCTGCAGCCTCTGTTCAAGTGGGGGAAAACCGTTTCCCCTAAGAAAACAACAAAAACCCCAAAAGACAAAAACACAGCAGTTGATAGCAGCCCAGTTCTAACAGTCGATGAAGTGATTGTAGAAGTGATGCCTGAGTTATGTGGTTATGTGATGAGCCTTCAGGTCGGTGACAGGTTTGGGTATGGTCATCGTCGCACATAACCGTGTAAAGTAGACTTGCACGGGAAAAAGAATACAATACCACTGTGACATTTTTTCAGCCAGTCCTCTCGCTCCTCGTCCCCAGCCTTTTAGGGTATTTCTGAAACTTGCAGTTCTGTTCTAATTGTGTGTGTATCCTGTAAACTCCCCCACAGGCCTCTTAACACCAGGGCTGCCTGGGGTGGGTGGCACTGATCTGGTGCTTCTGGAAGCTTCTAAACATCTGTGGACACTAAGGGGAGAGGCAGTTTAGCATGCCCATTACCCCTCCAACGTACGTACACACAGTCCAGTTTACTGTACCGCACCCCCACCCAGCAGATCCAACCTTTGATTAGAATTCCTAGGGCGCTTTTGCAGGCTTTTCTGGGGTGTTTGCTGTGGGATTTGGGGATAACTGGGTCTGGGGCAGTTTTGAGCCCCGCCTGGCTGCAGGATGCGCACCACCCCGACGGACAGCAGCAGTGCAGCTCAGCCAGTGGGGCTCTTGGAGGTGGGACTGGTCCCAAGTCCGCAGGCCCCCGCCCCTAGGGACTGGTGGGGAGGGCAGGGTTATCGTTCCACTGTTGTTAACACACCGCTCCCTCTGCGGAGACGTATGTACAGCCGGTTTGTCTTTTTGGACCCAATGGAGCGAGCACGTTGGCAGTGCTGGGTAGGTCTGTGGTCACGAATGCACAAGAACGAAGACGACTGGGAGCGACATGTACACGTGCCAGTTGTATGTAGGGCGCTCCCACGAGACCTGTGTGCGTTGTATTTGAGGTTGTGCAGTAACGCAGCAGAGGGGCGGAAAGGTGGTGTGAACTGCAGAGTGTGAAGTGTTGTTCCCTCCCCTCCAGACCTCCTTTCGTGGTCTCAACCCCCCCCTTGCACACTCGAGAAAGTACCCTAGACACTTAATCCTCCCCTCCCCCAACACCGCAACCAGCTTTCTCTGAAAACTGATACCCTGAGGCCCTTTTCCCTTACCAGCCACAATTAGGGGCAGTAAAAAAGAAACTATGGACTGGATTCTGACCCAGAGGCCCTGCTCCGTCGGTTTCCCTGCGGTACCACGCCGCTGTTCCTGCTCCAGGCCATAGATTTGATGTGACCTTGCTCCTCCAGGAAACAGCTTTAGGCTCCTGCCAGTCCAGGCCAAATCCACTTCTTTCTGCGAAGTCCATTTTGTATTTTCTATTTCACCCTAGTCAAGTCTCCGCGGAGGCTGTTGTTCTCAATCCAGCTCAGAAACTGGCTCAAACCGCCCTGAACTGGATTTGGTGGCTGTTGAGACACAGTTTCTGCCTCTTTGTCAGGGCGGATCCGGCCTCCTGGCTCGCCTGTTCCCCGCCCTCCTGTTTTCCCAGAGTCACCACCAGCAGTTCCCTTCCCCCCAACGCTCCAGTTTGGCTTTTTTTTTTTTTCACCCTTCCCTGGGCCAAGACCCCATGAAAGAAATGAGAATTTTTTATGAAATAGTGGATTTAGGTTGGAAACCTTCCGTTTTTATGACATTAACTCTTTAATTCTGCCTTTTTTCCTATTTGTTATCTGACTAGTTGACATGGTGCTCTTAAAACCTTCGCTCTCATGCTACCCTAGAAGTATCTTCAATTTTCACTCTGGATTGAAAAGAACTTTACATTTCACGTCCAGTCAAAGGGTGTCGGTGAAGCACATTGTTCATGTCAGCTTTTTGTCACCCTGCTGAGAGTCCTGTTTTCCTTTCTTTGCTGAGAAATTACAAAACATAGTATATATGGAATTTTTAAAGTACACCCTTTACACCCCCCCCCCCCAACACCTCCCCAAACTTTCCTTACTGGGTGTCTTGCGACCGTGCGATTCCTAGAGACAGAACTGAAGAATTGAGATGGTTTTCGAATATGTACATTTAACACTGGGTCAGAATCTGAATTGTGTAGTGAAGGCTGTTCGG